ATCGCACCCTGACTGGCTCATCTCCTCCCCGAGACCCCTCTGCAAGGGGATCTCCAGTGGCCTACTAATGGGTTTTGGGTCCAGAAGCAGTTTTATATTGAGAAAACATTCCAGCCCAGTCCAACTCCAGTCCACAAGTCCCTCTTCAGACTCACGCAGCCACATTTAATGATGCAGAATGCAGGACGATCACAGGCCTGTGGGTGCAAAGTCAGGTGGATCCAATGGCAGTGGCTCTGGCAGCAATCAGGGTCACACAGCAGGAAGGTGAAGGCTGAGAGAGAAGAGGGAGTGGCCAGGGCCTACCTTGTGAGAAGGCCACTCCCACAAGGAGGCACCATCAGGCTGTGACCTGATTGACAGGTTGAATACCACCCTTACACTTTTATTTATCTTCCAGTTGACATGAAATTATGTAACTACCACAGAGGGTGTGTCTGCTGTGAAGTGTGTGCCCATGAGCAGGGGTGTAGAATCTAGACTGTCTTTGCTTGGAGTTTGGAACCTAGAGAGTAACAGCTCTCTGAGCATGTGCTCAGAGCCCTAAGAGAAGGGGGTGGAGTCTGAGCCTGGGAGGCAGGTGGGTATGACCTGGGACCAGTGCTGGACATTCAATGAAGACCTAGCATTCTGGAGCCCAGAGGTTGCCCCATCCCCACCCCCATCCAAAGTAGGTCCTTTCACTGCCCTCGGGAGTGACCTCCTTCTTTGGGGATTGCACCTTGCACTCTGCCTTTGTCTTGAGTATCTCTGAGCTCTCTGTACATCTCCTAGGTCCCTCTTACATCAGCGAACACTGTAGATTTGAAAGAGAAAGAAAGAATTTAAACCCACATGCCTTGTAAAGTAGTTCCTGGAGCATCCAAGCTCGGGAACATCTAAGATCTGACCTTGAGCTTATCCCACTTACATAAAATATCCAGCATAGGTAACTCCCAAGAGATTGAAACAGACTGATAGGAAGAGGGAGCAACTGTCCAATGGATACAGGATCGCCCTCACCCTCTTTTTAATGTTTTATTATGAATTGGGTGAAGGTGTCTATTCAACCATCCATACACATTTTATCTCATTGATTACAACCCCTTCAAAGTAACATCACTTCATCCTACTTCTCTTTGTCTTTCCTGTTTCCAGTCCACCTTCTTTCCCGAGTCTTCTAAACTTCATCCTTGGGAAATGATGCTTTTCCTTTTTTAATCTCAAAGGATTGATTATTCTAAGGGATGCATACCCCCCTAGTATTATTGTTCTACCATATAGACCTTTCTATTGTTGGGCTGAAAATTGAGTTACAGATGTAAGTTCATTTCCAGACCTGAAGGGTGAGTATAGGCTTTATGCGTTCTCCCAGTCTCTATCCAATCAGCATGCCTATGATTTTGAGTTTTGTTCTACCCTTTTCTATCCATGGCCTTCTACTAGAATCCCTTTCAGACAGATGGTCTGGGTAGTTCTGGCCTTAGGACTGTGGAGGCTGAGGTTCAGGTGTGGTCCTCTAACCCATTGGACTAAGTGTTTCCACCTTCTATTGTCTTCATTCTTCTTTGCTCCAGACAAGAAGAGACCAATAGCTATGTCTTAGATGGCCACTCATGAACTTGTAAGACCCTAGTCACTCCTTGAAGTAAAATGTAGCACATTTTCATTGTGGACTGTGTTATGCCATTTGACCTTGGCAACTGGCATGGGGTTTCCTTTGGGGTAATCAGGATGTTCTGGAATTAGATCGATGTGATGGTTGGACAACATTGTGAATGTATCACTACCACTGGAGTGTATTCGCAAACTCTAAAATGGTTAATTTTATATTAGTTGATAATCACTTTAATTAATAAAGGACCAAGGCTCCCTGTGGCCAGTGCTAGGCCCTCAGCTCACATAGCCCCCTCAGCCATGTTAAGGAGATACTTGGCTCTTCATTTTGTCTGGTAAGGAGCCCTTCTGGTGTACTGGGCCACATGTTGAGTTGATAAGCACAAGATCAGCAGTTTCAATGCACCAGTGCCTCCAGGGAGGCACAAAGAGGCTGTCTCCTTCCAGAAGCTGTACAGGCTCGGAAACCCAAGAGGCCATCCTATTCTGGTCTGTACAGGCCACGACAGTCAGTGTGAACTTGATGAGAGTGCGTTTGCTTCTTTGAGGCTTGTTCCGT